TTAAATTACATGTCTGGCCCTATTCTACTTTTTTTTTTGAGATGGGGGTATATGAAATGAATATATTCATTCCAGGTGAAGACATACAGTTGATTTGTGCAATGCTCTTATTTTTAGTGTTTTCTGTCCCCCTTTTTAATTTGTCCTTCCATTTTTTTTTTTTTTTTTGGCTATGGGTTCTCAGCAAGGAGTGATTTCCTCCCCTCTGTCTCATTAGGCTGTTCACAAATAACATCCCAGGTCTTTTGCGTGATTGTCAGTTTCGAATCAGAAATATTCGTAAATAGTTTAAATGGTTCCTCCAGTATGCATTGCATTGGAAGGATACATAACATTGTCTCAGCACTATTGTTAGCTGGATTTCAAGTCAGCAGTTAATGAGAGTTAGGAGGCAGCTCCACAAGCTAATTGAAATTGTGCATACCTAAAACATAGGTTACCTGATTATCCCAGTGCTTTTCTGGCTGCTGATTATGATGAAGTATGTATGCTTCCCTATGTCAACTGAGGAGATTCAGATCAGAGATTTAGGTCACTGACCCAAAGGCCTTCTTGGATTGCCTGAATTACCCTGTTCAAACCCAATATTTATACCTGTTCCCCTTAACAACATTTTCTGATTGGTCATAATCAAATTCTTTTTATATTGCTAAAGCCCTGGGAACCCTAAAGAACCAATTTGTCAATTAACTAAAATTTATATTGTGAAACCAGAGAGAGAGAATTTCTTATCTTTTCATTTTATGTTTTTTTTTTAACAACTGTTTTTAGTTTTCACAACTTATCCCAGAAACTTAACAAAGGTATATCTATTATAGCATAGACTTCAGCTGATACATCTGGTTACATCAGTCACCACGTATGCTAACATGCTTGTTCTAAAACTACAGCATGCTCTGTTTGGGTTATTTATCTTATGGCATTCTTGCAGATTGATTCCTGCTAGGTCTTTTGCTTAATTTAAACCATGGAGTCTACTACTTGTTTAGCTGTATCTGTTGATTACTTTACACATTCTGCTGAACATGCCAGTTGTAACATCTGCAAAGAAGTTTGCTTTGCTGTCATTCAAGAGCAGTTTGAATTCTTTTTTTTTTAAGTCACGTTCCTGACTAATTGCCAAGGCTGGTTCTGAAAATGGTGAAGACTGGCAGTTCTGTACATACACCTGAGAAATTAAAGTTCTTGACAGATTAAATTGACTCCAGTTGTTTTAGCCTGGACTGGCAAAAATAAAGGTGTCTGTCTACTGTATTAACATTTGAAGAGCAATCTAGAATTAGATATTTTGTTACTTGATTCATTGCAAGATACATATTGGTAGTATTCTTTACTTTCTTGATAACTCTTGATGTTTTTTACTGCCAAATTAGTTATTGAAACTGAATCAGTCTGTCCATTAGCTATGCAATCCAGAACACCTATTACGTTTTAGTAAATACTTTGATATTACTGGGTAAACACTGCATCACTGAAAAAAACAAAACAAAACTATCTTGCTAGTAGAGAATGATAGATATTGGGAAACTCCTCCCGAATAACATACGCCTTGCTGCAATTGCCAGTAATTTACATAGTTCAGTCAGTGGTCAGATAAATAGCCTTTTGTAAATTTATAATGTTGTTTATTTGTACTCAGGCAACTTTGAGGTGCATCCTCATTTAACAAACAGGTAGTGCTGTGGCCTGTTTAGTGCAGCAGTTTATTCTAAACATTTATTACATCTTTAACATCTTCCTACTGTAACCTCTGTCATTCTAGGAGTACTGGAAACTAATAGCACAACAGATCATGTTTCAGATGAAACAGCTTTTAGTGTATTCCATGAGAAAGCTGAACCAGGAGCTGCAATAAAACAGCAAGGTAAGAAAAAGAAAAAAACAGTTGTTCATTGCCTCACGATACCAAATTTAAGCCCATACTGTTAAATCAGAAGTGTCGAAAAAAAGGCCTGCAGCGCCGTCCAATCCAGCTCATGGGTCAATGCATCGACCCCATGCACTGGGCCAGTCCGCATTCTGCACGCAGATTGGACCCAGCACCACACAGCCTGCACTAAGCATAGGGAGTTATTCCGGGACGCGTGCTGCATGCAGTGCCCTGTCCATGCACTGGCATGGGGCTGGTCTGGATTAGGCCATGCTGGAGCCAGCACACAGGACTGGTCCAGCAGACATGGCATATAACATGTTCCCCATGCACCTGTTGCATGCAGCATGTGAGGCCATTTCATCTCCACAAACTGCATGCATTGGCCCTGGAGCTCACTGTGCACATAGCATGTTAGGTTGGCTTAGGATATGTGCTGACTATAGCATGCTGGCTGGATCCAGCGCTTCACAGCACAGAATCCACAGTGCTGGCTGCATGCACCGCACAGATTGATATCCTTTGTTGTCTGTAACACTGGGTCCAGCCGGTACACTATGGGCAGCAAATGCCTCCTGCCAGCCTTGCATGCTGCTTGCACAGAGAACCCTGGGGCCCATGTATGCTGCACACAGTCTGTGGGTTGGATCTGGTACCATGGGTGCTGCACAGGGGTTCCATCCCACTCTGACCCACAGACCATCTCAGGTACCCTTATCCAACCTATGGTTCTGAATGTGTTAAATGAATTTAGGGAGGTAAACCCTACTCACTTTTTTTTCTTATTTAGCTGCTCTGCTTCCCTATAATGTAATTGTGCCAGTCAAGTTTATTATTCTGAAATTGCACATTTCCTACAAAAACATTTACCCTGTATTGTTTCTTGTTGTCCTGTGAGGAAAATGGCTTTAAAATGATAAAGACACTAGGTAGCATGTGTGGTAGGATAAGTCATATCTGCTGCAAAGTTTTATTCCTGAATACTGTGACAATAGTTATTTATCCCTTGATGGACATCAAAGAATTAGTTTTATTTTTGGGTCTGTTTACATTAGATTTATTTCTTTAGGGAGCTAACCGATTACCATTTTGCTCCCTAAAAACTATGCTTTGTTGTTGGGAAACTGTGAAGAGGACAACTGAAAATATATTTGTGGAAGGGAATTGGACAATTTCAGGATACCATTTAAGTAACTGCATTTCCTCCTGCATATTTCTACATTATTGTAACCTGCTAACCCAGTACAAGATTTGAAAAGAAAATTCCATCCCCACATTCTTATTATTCTATTCCTTTAAACAGCTTAAGGACTTCCCAAGAGGTAAAGTATCAGGTAGTTACCATATTTTATGGCATTCTTGCAGATTATTTCTTGCCAGGTCTGGAGTTATAAGTAAATGTAGAAAAAAGACCTGAGATTAAAGCTAAAAACTGGACCTGTATTTTCTCCACATCTAAACACACAGTCTAGTGTGAGAGTTGAGGCCATGTATGGGGGAGATCAGAGGCTGGGTCTGTTACACCTGTGGCCTTAAATAAGGCCTGGTATCCTTGCTAGTCTAATGAGATGGCAGCTCACCAAGTCATTCTATACATTTTACACAGGTGGGAGAGCTTCCCAGGCCAATTCCTCTTAATCTGGTTGAGTGCAGGAAACAGTATTGTATATTGGATTCTAGGAGACATGAATTTCAATAATTTTATATGCTTTGCTTTAATTAGAATGTATATAAGAGCAGCACACAGAACTTTGCTAGTGGTTTGGAGCCAGATATTTAGCTGATATAAATAGGCTTAACTTCATTGTTTTCACAGTGTTTTCTTCTGTGATTAGTTCAGTACATAATATGACAGATCTGTACATCTTATTTCAGTGCAGACATTATAAGATGCCATCTAGAATTTTTAAATTCCAACTGCTGTGAAAACAATTAATGAATTAAACTAGTTGGTAATGCCAATAACTTATTGTTAAGTTGTACGCATATTTAGCAGCTATCAAGCTTCTCATTATATCCCGTATCTTCTCACAGATTTGTTTTCTTGTGTGTAAGTATAGACAGCAGTGTCTAATAAAAGAATCATTTAAATCTCCTTTGAAACACATTCTTTATTGGCTCAATTAAATCTCTTTGCAGAAATAAACCATAAAAATCATTGACAATAAGTTTAAATGGCATGTTCCACTGCACAAGCAGTTTCAAGGCTGTAGGCACATTTCCTTTGGATGCGTTTCCAGCACTGAAGTTTTTTGTGATTTTCTAGTCAGCCTAATAAAAGGTATCATCTCTGAACCAAGAGGTCTAGAGTTTTGCATTTCTTTCAGCACTGAATAAGGCATTTACAGAATATCACGTACTCACTTGCTCTCCTGTATGTTTTCCTTGGTTGTGTGTCAGCCAGCCAGTTTTTCTTTATTTCAAAAGGTTAAATCTTAACTATAATATCCACTGCTACTATAACTGCCATGAGAAAATTAAGTGGGCTCTTTCTTAATTACCTTCTATCAAGAACTAACAGCCCTTTTTCTTTTACGATATTTATTAGGAGCCCTCATTGGCTAGCTTATGGTAATAGGTTTTTAAATATAAAAGAATATTTTTCAGAGATACAGCAGAGAATTTGCATACTTATTTCCCCTGTGTTCATCCACTTTTCCTAACTAATATGCTTCAATTTTTTAGCCACTGCAGCAGGGAGAGAGGGGTCATTCTATTTCCTGTGGTCCGTACAACCATATAAAGCATAGTTCTGCACTAAAGTATGGCGATTCTGTAACATTTCTTATGACAAATATGTCTACTTCTGAATAGAGTTCCTTGATATGTTCTGCTTTTGCTGACAACAGTAACTTCTTTTCTTAAAGGTTTCACAGGTACTCAGCCTCTGGCCCATGGGTCAAATGCAGCCTGCAGAGCCTTGCTGTCCAGCCTCTGAGGCTCCCCCCGGGTTGGTAATTTGATGGCAGGGAAGCAATGGCTATTAACATGGCCACCTCTGCCGCCTCCTGCCAAATTCCCAAACCCCAACTCCCAGGTGGCTGGTCAGAGCTGGGCTGTGCCCCCTTTCCCCTGTGGGGCTGGGCCATGCTTCTGCCCTCCGCATCTAGATTGGGACATTGGGACTAGAGCCATGCCCCTACCCCCTCTTCCCCCACCCTGCCGACTGGGCCACACTCCCTTCCCTTCCCATGGGGCCAAGCCATGCCCCCTTCCCCTATAGGGCCAGATTAAGGCCAGGCTACCCACCTTCCACCTCTCCATGTGGCCAGAAGGTTCCCACTGCACTTGCCTCAGGTGCCAGCTTGGGATGACTGGCCAGATTTGACCTGCAGACAGATGGGGTACTTGCCCATCTTGCCAGCTTGGGGGGGGAACGTTTAAGCACCATTGTATTATACTATATTGGTAGCTAGACTTAAGTGAATGGTCCCAGGCCTCACTCACAGTATCTTTTTAGTGGATATCTTAGAGAAACCTTATCATGTGAGAAACATTAGCCCTGGCGGATGCTTAAATACTATTTTGTACAGTTGCTACAGTATATTTCAGTTTACCTGATAACTTTCATAGAAGTTGCCTTTCAGGCACAGTTAATGTAGTCTGCCTAAAATAAATAATCCAAGTGGAATTCAAAAGGGTCTGTGTTTTACAATTCCTCAAGTACCTTTGACAGTCCCACTCAGTGAGCTCCCAAACATTCACCTTTTCATCAGCCATTTATAGAAATTGAATTTATTTTTCTGTATAGCACACTTGGTTCTTACAGCACTTCCAAGGGATCATTGGTGTTTGTGGTTACTCTTAAATGTTTAACATCCTCTGATCATTCACTGATTTTTTTTTTCTGGTCTTTTGTCAGCGTACATGTAAACTATTAAATATTTTCTGAGGAGAGATGTCTCCTATGATTTGGTTGTTTGAAGCAGGAATGTAATGGGAGTTTCAGGCCTCCACTTCTCACTCGCAGTGTTTCTGTTCAGGTACTTTGTGATCAGGAAATCCATTTTAATCAGTCAGGTTTATTTTTCTTCCTTTGATTAAACATGTTTCATTTAATGGATTAAACACTATTTTGTAGGTCTCTTAATGATGGAGACCATGTTGTGATTCTCTCTTGGGAACACACTGCTACAAAGTTCTTAGTTCCTCTGAGAGTAACATATTTGCTGTAATTCTGTCTTAGTATATGCTGTATAATTAGGTCATTTTTAGGGACCTACCTAAATCACGGTTTTGTGGATTTTGCGAGAAACAGTGGTAGCCGTGATCACTGGGAAATCTGGCAATTGGCCTCGATGTCCCCTTAAAAAAAAAAAAAAAAAGCAATAGTGAGGTAGATTGAGTGAAAGTGCCCTCCACTTATCAACAGCAAAGGGAGGGGCTGCAACAAAATGCCAAAATCAGCTCTGTGCACTATGAGTGGGCAGCTAAAAATCTGTTGTCTTGCTGCAACTTAAGTAGATTCCTGGTCATTTTTAATAAGATTGGCATTACCTCTTACCTGTAAATTTATGGAGAGGGGGTGGGTTCTTTCAGGTGAATCTACCAGTGATACAGGTACTGTAAGGGTGATCCTGAATTATAAATGGCACACATCCACACACATATAATATGTACAGCAATGAAAAATGTATACCAATATTGGTAAATATTATTATTTAAATTCTACTACTAGTTTTTTTGTTTGTACTGTATAAACAACTTGCAGCTTGTAAAGAGACATGAAATGTAAGACATTTTTGTTTTCATATGTTTTATGCAGAACTTTATGGAAACAGTTTAGTTGGGAGACCAGAAAAAAAAATCCAGGAATTTAGTCTGTACATAGAGTTAAATGTTGTTTTGTTTGATAAACAGCTTACCAGTGCTGTTTATATTTTAGTTTAGTTTGAAAAATAAGCTAATACTTCAAAAACCTTTCTTTTCAAAGTACCACAGGTCCTTCTTTCACCTTCTGCTTTAATTAACTTTCCATCTTCCAGTTTGTTGTTACAAGTCTATAAAAGCACGGTTATTCCTGACCTCTTTTAAATTTGATGTATTTGTGAATTCTGTTCATGTTGAAGGTGACACACAAACCTTATTTCCCCAAATAGCACAGAATGGATTATTTCTCCAGTCACAAATGGTAAATGTACCTTTTTAAAAAAATTGAAATATCCCAGGTCATTTGTACTTTGTACAATGTACAATACATTATTCTGTAATGTCAAAGCTACCATTGCCCCTTGTTGCATTTGGAAACCCAGATGAGCTCAGCAACTGAATTTTATATGGCATGATATTCATCCTAACCCAGTAGAATATCGTTAAAACATTCTTTATAACTACTCCATGGAACGGACATAACCTTTACCAGACTACTTTGAGCCAGCTCTGTATTATAATAGAGCTCCTTGGTAGCTATTATGTCAAAGAAATAAATATTTTAAGATGTAGCAGCAGGGAGAAACTAGCTGATGACATAAGTACAGCTGTTTTTTTTTTTTTAAAGCTAAATCCATTTAGCAACCTGCACTTCAACTTAATTTTTGTTATTAGTTCTATAAAAAGTGTTCTGCAAAAGTTTTTAATGGGAAATGTGCTTATTATGAAGACAAGGAAAAACTGTGTGCTTGCTTCTCCTAAAGTCAAATGCGAACTGTGACATCAGAAAAATTAGCAACAGCTTTACAATGTGAGAAGTAAAACTGTGCCACTAAAAAATCACCTGCAACACATTTTATATATAAATTGAATAGTGTAGAGACAATCAATAGACTTCAAAATGCTTTGGTGCTGTGTTCAATCTGCGAAAATTAACTTTTTCTAAACTTACAATCTTACTCATCAATTGAAAAAAGAAAGGGGAAGTCAAACTAGCACAACCCAAAATGTTCAGGGTAAAAAGTAAATAAATCATTTAAGTAAACTCTATACAAATTTGACCCCAATCAGCAAGGTCTATAATCATGTGCTGGAATTTAAGTGTATGTGTAACTGCACTGACTGCAGAGATAGTACAGCTAAGATCAAGTACGACCAGCTACATGTCTTAGATTGCCTTAACATATTACACCAACTATGTACCTATGTCGCTGCCTTGTGCAGGTTCCCATATTATCTTACAACTCTACAAAGCCATGTAAATAATCATGATTTTTACTCGGAACCTTTAGCAAGGGCTTTCTTCAGAGTTACCAGGGCTAAATTTAATAGCAGTGGAAATCTGTCTTTGATAGGGCATTATTGAAAAATATTAAATAGGAAAAGCCATCTCTTCAATATTTGAAGCATTTGAGCTGGGTACTGAGAATATTGGGTAGTTTTTTGTCTCTCCCCTCCCCCCCTTATTTTTATATTTATCTATTCAAAATTATTCACAATAACACTGCTTTGAAGACTGAGGAGTTAACTGCATTTTGCTATATGATACAGTTAGCAAATATTTGAAAGCAAATTGTAATTTATTCTTTACCACCTTTGACTAAACTAGCTTTATGTTTTATATGTGGCAGAAAGGGGGGAATCTTGTTCTTATTTTAATTGACTAGTCTTTGTAACAAGTGACATTAACTATACTGAAGGTTTAATAGGAAAAGTGTAACTAGACAAAAATTGGAATGCTGTTAGATGCGAACTAGTACATTTAATTAAATAAAATGAAAAAAACTTATAATATAAAAAAGACCCTAAAAATCCTAATACTGTATTCACCCAAACCCAAGACAACTGAAGATTTTAAGATGATCCCCCCAAAAATAATTAGATGCTACACAAATAAAATTTATAATTTTGAAAATAATTTTCCATGTATGGAATCTAACTATTGGGAAGAGGTTGTCTTAAATTTTCCCCCCTCGTTGCTGTAGCAGGGCAAGCACTGGTGGAGCAGGGGGTGGGGGTAGGCAACAGAGCAGTCAGGTAGCCTGTTCATCCCCCGACCTTGTCCCCTGCCACTTGCCCCCTCACCTCCCTTCACCTCCCTGTATTCAAATCCATGATGAGGGGCTTTTTCCTCCCATGTTGGTTGGGGGTACCTCATTTTGGAGTTGAGTAAATACAGTATATGGAATATTGTCAGGTTTTTCCTTTACTTTCATTTTCACTCATATGTTTTGGATACATCTTAAATACAAAGTTAAGAAAAGTTCACCATATTATAAATGAATATCAAGAATTAAAAAGAATATAAAACTGTACTGGCCAATGCCCTTTTTGGATCGTAGTTTGATGTTTAAATATATTTTAAATAAATCAGAAAGAATTTGATAGGCTATTTAAAATGTATTTTGTAAGTAAGCTTATAGGACTTTTGTGTCTGATTTTTTTTTTTTTTTTAAAGAAAAGTATGTGTTGTAGTGAGTTAATAAAGTAGCACACCGAAGTGGTTTGCTTATAAAATGGGAAGTACTGCAATAAGAAAACAGATTTGCCTTTCTGACTTCTTTCTCAATATTGGTGTTCTTCTCATTTAATAGAAGGGGAAGCTGGGAATATTTCTTCTGAAAAGCCAGTGGTATCTGAGAATGGTGAAGTGTCTAATGATCTGCCACCTCATGCCACCCAAAGGTCTGTTTGTATCTCTTTCTCTTTTAATCTAACTAAAACAGATCTAAAATAGGCAATTAATTTGAAAATATGGTAGGACACTTTTAATAGTAAATTGCTGCTAATGACCTTAAACTGGCAGAATTGTGGATATTTTTAACTTTGTTTTCATCTAGATTTTAGCTTTTGAGTTTCATATTATCTCCTGGGTTAATAGTATGCTTTGGGTGAGTTTGGTGATATTTAAAATTTTGTAGTATAAGCTGAGTATAAAGTCACGAGGTACATAATATTAATGCATTTCCCAAATACCATCACAACTCTCCTGAATGATATGGAAAGTAAAGCCTTATTTTTTTTCAAATTTAGGTTAGCTTTTTAATTTTTTTTTTTTATATCCAGCTGGTACAGTTGTATCAGAAATCTCACTTTTAGAAGCCAAACTTCCCTTTTCATGTCACAAACGTATATTGTTAATGCTGAACTTGATGCAACATTGTACTTGAACTTTAAGATACATATGCTGCAACAAAATGCATTAGTCCAGGGGTTGTCAATGGTGGGTATGGATACCCCCGAAGGTACTTGAGAAGGCCCTAGGGGGTATGTGTGGATGGGGACAGAGTGCTGCCACGCACCATCCCCACTACTCCCTCCCCCTGCTCCGCATCTAGCCACCAGGGGTACACTGTTGAAAACCCCTGCATTATGCCCTCAGCTAGTGGTAAGATCTGTGTTATGTTGTTATATACCAAAAAGGATGCCTGGCAAAGGATATTGCTTTATATTGATTTATGCCTAGGGTGCCAAACTCAAGCTTGATCTGGACCATGAGGAGCCTTGCAGACTGGATCCAGACCCAGATCCAGTGGTGAGGCAAGAGGTGGAGTTCACTGCCATAGTTCCTGCGCTGCAGGGATTAACACACCTGTCTCTTGTCTCTTTGCCACCAACATGGATCCCCAGTGGAGCTCCCTATCCCCGAGATCTGTATGGGCCCCACCTTTGAAATTCTGGACATATCAGGAACCATATCAGCGAAATGATTTGGGTCTGCAGGCTGAATCTGTTCTGCGTACCATATCTTTGACACCCCTGACTTACACAGTGTGTTCTTTCTATCTGTTTATAGCCTGATCAAAATAGTAGCATTGTGCTATCAGGGCATAAGTTATTTTTCAAGGGAAATGCTTCTGGTTTTTAAAATAACCCTACTTATTTGTTTTCCTTGAAACTAGTAACTTTAGATGCATTAATTCATTTTACAACTCTGCCTTTTTGTTGTTTTAGAAGAATGCCCCGCCCAAGCAGTGCTAGACCAGCTCCACCTAGAATCAAACGACAAGAAAGTACAGAGATTTTACTTCCAGAGAGGTAAGGAAAATGTGTGCAAGATATTCTCATCCTGTCACATCATATTGCAAACAGTGCTAGAATACCAGAATTCATACATGCATGATTATGCAAGAGGTTGCAATGCTTGTTTTACTGTTTCTACAGAAACAATATAGCAGCAAGAAGTAAAATTCAGTGCTGATATCCTGAGGCTTTGGAGAACAGATAATGTCTGCATTTGCAAATTTTGGAACAGTAAATTATACAATGGTAATCTAAGCCAGCACCAGAAAAGACCTAGGAAGTATGCAGGGAAAATGGAAGATGGAAGCTGCCTTTTAAAACTGTTTCTAATTACCAAAATGGAACAAGTGTTGTTCCTGAGCTTTTTCTTAATGCATAAATGCACTTTGTTTGAAAGAAAAAAATTCATAATGCTTATGTGACAAAAATACAGGTCTGGCTAATAATCTTAATGCTGGTCTACCATGGAAAATGGCACAAAGTAGTGTTTGCTTCTCTTATTAGGGGGGTGGAATTTGTAGTCTCTCCTACCTTAGAAAACATTTGGTCAAGTTCTCAGTGTGTTTTAAATTTCCATTATATGTCTTTCAGAAGTGGCAGTGGCAAAACAGTCTCAAATGTGATCATAGACAAACAGAATTCTGATGATGACGACGATCAGTTTGTGGTGGAGGCAACCTCACAGCTACCTGAAATGCCAGAACTGGAAATGGTCTGTTAATGTCACAATATAGAGTATATTTGTTTAGTTTTGTCATTGTCTGTTCTTTTCTCATATGTCTTGTCTGAACACTTCTTATTTTAGATCCATTCATGATTCCTTATAACAAAAAGCTCTGTTGCTTTCTTTTTATATGTAGGAACCAGCAGTGGAGCTAGATGGAGAAGAGAAGCATGGTAAGTGTCTTTGCCTCATTTTCTTTCACCTGTAGCTTATAAGCTATACAGGACATAAAAAGAATCATGAATAAATTAGAGGAAATAACATAGCGTCTCTGTAGTATTTTGAACTTGTTTATAAATGAGTCTGTGGTTATACAGGACTGATTCATGTACAATTTGTTTAGCAAAACCAAACTTTTCTTACTGTAGCAGAACATACTTCCTGTGTACAAGGCAGATCATCTGTAGATCCATCATGTTGGCAGGAGTTAAAACACCACATACACTTTTTGAGTAAATTCAGTTAACTTACTGTGGCAGGTACATCTTGCTAACTCCTTTGAGATAAGAGCTGGATATCTCAGTCTTGTGCATCCATCTCTGAGCCCCTGTCTGAGAAGAGAGCCCTAACTGCCAGGCTGTAGGTGAGCCTGGGGTAGAGATATTGTCCATCCCTACTGGTGGAATCGTGCTTTTGCGCAGCAAAGAATACTAGATTCATTGTGCTAGAGAGAAGGAAAGCAAGCAAGAAGGATCATGACTTGATATTAGGGGTTGGAAACCTTTTGGAGCAGTGGGCCAGATGTCACTGAAGGCTGCTGCTTCTCTCCACAATGCTCGGACCACCTGCTGCTGTCATTGTGACCTCTGATCTTTGTCCCCAGCAGCAGCACTGACTGATCAAAGCTACTTTTGGAAAAGTGGTTCTAGAAGTTGACATACTCATTACTTAAACCAAACATCAATGCCTCAGATTTGAATCCATTTTTACTTTGTTAGGCAAGATTTAGGCAAACATCTTCCTTAAATACAGCCAAAATGTACTGGTAAGCAAAGGCTTAGAGATCAAGTTATTGCTACATATGGTTTGTACAATACTTAAATTATCCTGAATGGGACGTGCTTTAAAAATGCAAGAGATTATGTTTATTAACCTGAATCTGGATTTGTAGAGAATGCTGCCTTTAAAAATTACATTAAGGTTTGTATTGATTAAAAGTAATTTAAAGTAAAGCCACTTAAACTTTTTATCTCTATCATACAAATGAGATATGCCATTTTACCACAATACAGTTGATGTTAGTCTATGATTCATTTTCATTGACTGGAATTAAGTAATCTGCATTTAATTTATTTTTTCTAATTATGTAGAACAGTGTTTGTGTTAAGCAGCACTGACAAAAATATTGCTCTCCAACAGGTGGGCTTGTAAAACGAATCTTAGAAACAAAGAAAGATTATGAGACGTCCCAAAAATCACTGAATTCTTCAGAAAAGGTAACAAGATAGATAGACTTAGATAATGGGTTCTAAGGAACTGTGAATGTCAAGTATTTTAGTAGTTATCTCTCCGGTGTTTAATGCATACATTTCCCCCC